ACATGCTGCCACTATTGCAGCTTGTAACCATTCGAACATCTCTTTTTCCAACTTAAGTTCTCTTCAATCCTGGAAAAAAAAAATTTTTTTTTGAGGAAAAAGGAAAAGGAGAAGTTTGCTGCTAAGTAATTTGTGTTGGGAAATTTCAAAAGGAGAGGAATGTTAATTGAAGAGAAATCAGGGGAGAAAGGTGCACAAAAAAGGAGGGAGGGGATAGATGAAGGTTTGAGGAGGGGGGCGTGGACTGGGGAAATTAAAGAAATGTTCAAGGAAGGCAGCAGCAGCGCCAGCAACAGAAACCAAAAAGAGTAAGAAAATCAGAAAACAAACAAAAGAGAATAGTTAGTAGTACTGATGGAGAGGTGGCATGCTCTTGAAATACTTCTTCATTAATGCCTTTCTTTATTGACTGAGTCATCTCTCTTTGCCGTCTCCCTCTCTCATCATTTAACTATGCTAAATAAAATTAGGGATAATTTCAGAAACCTCAACCTCCCTTGAGGTTTCTAACAATTCCACTCGGCTCCTCTCAAGTTTAAAAAATTACACTTACCTCCCTTGACATAGTAAAATACCTATAATGCCCTCCACTTAATAGACAATTTTAAATTTAAGGCAATAAATTTACAAAACCTATTTTTGTCTCTTGTTTATTTTCGCTCCTATCTTTTCTAATTAATATAGCATCTTTTTATTATCTTCAATTTTGTGGATATTAGCAAATTGAAATTTACAAAGCAACAGAGAGCATATTATGTGTCAAATTAGAAGGAAATGAAGAGACTCGAAGCGATAGAGAAATGAATAATGAAATTGATGATTGAAATAGAAAAAAGAACTAAAGATGTGAAAATTGACATTTTTTGTTTGTTGTCACAAAAAACTTTTATAAAATGTCAATAATTATATATGGATTTCTTTAATTGGATTAGATTTTTTATTACGATTTTATTATGGAGGTAGAATTTATTCTATACTTTTGAGATATTAATAATTCTAAAACTATATGATGGTTGTAATGATGGTTTTAGATCAGATTAGGTTGTATTGAAAAGGTATTTGAGTATTGATAAATAATTTTTGGTACAACTGATTGTCAATTAGGTTTGTATGCGTGTTTTTCTCTTTTTTTTTTTTTACGAGGCAAGTATTGATATTTTATGTAATTTAGGATTTTTTGAACAGCTACTTGATTTCAGAACTTATGCTTGGATGGTTATTAAGAATTAAACTTGTTAATTTATGTAAAGTATGGAAGAAAATAATTGAGTATACTATATTTTTCTTTCTTAATTTTGTAAAAAATAAGGACAATTTAGGATTTTTGTGAAAAAATCTATCTTATTGGACCTACATTGTTACTAAACATTAAAAGTAGGGGAGGTATATGTACTTTTTAAAACCTGAGGAGAGCTCTTTGTAATTGTTAAAAACCTCAGGGGAGGTTTATGAAATTATCCCGTAAAATTAACACCAACCGAAATTAAGTTGTATAAGAAATACTCCATTGCATTTCTATAGTTATTATTATCCTCCATTGCATTTATATGCTTTTTCTTACCTAATCTCACTCACCTTCCCTTATATTTATTTATTTTTTTTTAAATTAATTTTACATTTTAAAAAAATATAACATCTGAAACATATTTTAACGACAAGGGCACCCGTTCAATAGATCCAAACATCAGCGTTCCAATAGTAAAGTTCATAATTTAACACTCAAACCTTCTTTCTTTTACCATATTCTTTGCAAAATTTAAAATCTTCCTTGAAAGAGACGGAAAAAAAGGATGCTTATATTACCAGATTTCTTCTTTTTTCTTCACTTTGCTAAGATGGTCTTTTAGATCAACTTGTGGGTAGATGTAGATTTTTTTTTTTTTTTTAATTTTAACTTTAACGAAATGGCGTTTTAGTTCAAGTTGTGAATCAAGTTATCGCTTTGACACAGTTGCATGTAAAAGAAGCAACCGGACTACTAGGTTGAAAACCTTCAAGTATTAGTGGGGCGCCGTGGATTGTTGATTAACTTCAATTTCATTTTCAAAGGGAAGAGAAGTCAATCTATCAATTTTTGTGCGAAGCTAGCCCTTCTAGAGAACCAAACCTTGGTCAAGGCCCCCAAGGACAAGGAGAGATAGAGATAGAGAGAGAGAGAGGCTGAGACATTCTTAAAAAAGCGTGGATTACTTCTAACAAAAAAGGGGATGAACCGATGGAGACAAATGTTAAAAAGGGAAAAGACAAACGAGGGAAGAGCAAAGATTTATCGCAAGGGAAGATGGTTGGGTGACGGTAGTTTTTTGTCGACAGCAGTTAAATTTATCTGTGATTAGAATAATCAATCTATTCAGGTGGTGGGGGGGCCAGTGAAAGCAGCAATCATTTTGCTTAAACCTGGAAACAAAAGGCGTGAGCCTTGTTCAAATGGTGGAGGCGGAGTCTTCACTTCAAGTCTGCCTGGATTCGATTTCAGTCCGTAATTCAATTATTTACCGTCTTAGGCATCGATCGAGCCCGCTTTGCTTGGACGCTATGGAATTAATCGGGTGATTTCGAAAACTCACGGTGTCGGAAAAAAAAAAGAAAAAAAAAAGAAAAGGGAAACAAAAGGCTTGAATTATTCTGTTCTTTTTTTTAGTGCAGGGAAAGACCACTGCTGATTTTGAAAATACTTTTTTGTCTTGAGGCCTCACAAGTACATCAAGTCCCTTAAATTTGCATAATATTCCTCGTGAATGTGAAAGCAACTTTTTCTGAGGGAATTTAGAATTCTAGCAGATGGGTTCTTTTAGTTAATGGAGTAGTTAACATACATAAGACTGACTTTATAGTAAGTGCTTCGTTCCTGTTTATTACTATATGAACAGTAAAGATGAGATGATGGTGTTTGATTAACATGCTGTCTACTTCAAAAAAATAAAAATAAAAATAAAAATCTTGGCCGATAACAATCAATAGACAGGACCGAAATATTTTACTTTATAATTTTAACGTAAGATATTTGATGCCTTTTTTTTTTTTTTTTTTTTTTGGCAATGGTAAATATTTGCGTGCGTTTTAGATGTTTCAAGATTTGATTTGAGACATCTTAATCTGGAATGAATAAACGACGCGTTGCAGCTGCCCCATTTCTTGAAGTCTTGAGCGAACCTAACTTTTTTTGTCGTTGGGTATTGCTGGTTCGCAAGAAATTTCACTTAGTTACAAAAGACAAAAATAAATAAATAAATAAAATTAGCATCACTAGAGATTCTTGAGTATAATATTAATTATTGTCTAATCCACGTTAGGCTAGTATAAGCCTGATTTTCAAATTCAATCCTGAAAAAAATTTAGTTGACTAAAGTGTGATTTAATTAAAGTAGTAATGTATTGTTGGGAGGTTAGAGAATAATGGTGGTGTCAACGCCATTCAGAATCCAGACAACCTGTAAATCGGAGAATCACAATCATAAATGATCTGCTTCATCTCCCACCAAATTCTCATCTACTCAAATTATTATTATTATTATTAATCTAACACATTAGCATGATATTATAAGAACACAGAACAGTATGAAATTCTCCTCCATAGATCACCACTATAATATAGTGACTCATCCTGCTGTCTGTCCCTTAAATAATTATCCAAAAGTAAGAAAGTGATGTCATCAAAGAGTGCAATCAAAGCATTTAATTTTTCTTTTTTTGTGAGATGGGAAACTTGCTATGAGATTGAAAGAAGTCAGGTGAAGCATATAGGCAAGTCCAAGCACTTGAATCAGCCAAGTGAACAGCATTATGTTGTAACCACCAGCCTTTGGACCGGTGGCCACCACCAATGTATTAAGGTTTGGTGGGTGAAATCGTGCCTTCCACTAATTTACCACAATTAAATATGGTTTTGCTTAAAAAATTCAGGCGGGTACATGGTACACTGGCCTGATCCGGTGGTGATTCAGTCTCTTCTTGATTATCCCAGGACCTCTTCAAGTCCTCCCTCTCCCCAAAGTGTAGGAAGGTATCGTATCGACAAAAAAATAAAAAAGAACAACATTATGTTATGTCAAGTTACAGATGCATTTTTTTTTGTTATTGTTATGAAAAGTTTGAATGGATTCAATTTCAATCACCACCACGGATCAGGATATGTCTCGAAAACTATAGATCGCTTATAGAAATCCTTACAAATTGCAAACCAACACAGCTCTCGTATTAAGAGCAATTTTTATGAGAAATTGAATCAACTTGCGTTCGCGTCAAGTTGAAAAACAAAACTTACAAATGGTTTTGATACGCTTGCTCCCTTCCAAATGCTAGTCACTATCTCATCCAGAGCTCAGTAATTAATTGTATCACTAATTTACTTGCTGATATTTTTATGTATTTGATGTATTTTACATTAATTATGTGTGAATTCAATTAAGAAAAGGGCCTCCCCTTTCACGAAAGCGCGACGGTAATTTTGGCTACGACAAAAGCGCTGCTCTGCCGCAAGATGAAAAAAGAAAAGGAAGAACAAGAATCCCACCAAATAAACAAATTGGACACTGCAAGCAAAGCAAATATTGGAAAGTCATATGGGGTTAAGATAAATATTACTACTGTGGTAGCAGTAGGCAAGCAAAACCATCTAAACAGGAGCTTGTCCATCCCATTTTGCCTCTTCCAACCGGACAAAAGTATCCCGGAGAATGATTAGAGAAGAAAGGCATGATTGAAGATTAATCTCGGACATCGCAAAAAGTACTATGTAGTATTTGAGATGTCACTCAACGTCACCAATGTGTCACCTGAATAATGGGCTTTTTACATCCGCCTGTTAGGTTCTAGTACCTACTCCCCTCCTCCTTTATGCTTATGGGCTCTCTCCCACAGTACCACCGGTCCATCCCAGCTGAGGACACCAACCCCTCTGCTCGGCTAGTAATGACTAGTTTGGACCACCGGCAAAAGAAAATAGTGTTTGGCTGTTCTGCGCTTTTGCCCGCCCTACAATCCAGATTAAGTTCCATTCCTCCATTTCGTTGGTTGGTTCCACTCTCCAATTTTTTTGGATCTCAAATCCAAAACAAAACGGTTATGGACTTTTCAACAGCAGGAGGACGCTGGGCAGTCGAATGAATGTCGCAGAAGTTGAAATGTCAATAATGTTTTGGATCGTTCGTTCTAATATATGCCAATGCACAGGTCACAGGTAGGAGGTCTTTTGTCAGTAATACCTGCTCATCCTTTTGAGCGTAAACAATTTGAGACTTCACTTGGATTGCTACAGACTTGTGATTTGCTGAGTTGAAAAAGGGGAAATGCCCAAGGCAACTTGGTCGCAGCACAAAACATCGATCCCTTGAAGTCCATCATACTCACTCCTCCAAGTTCATATTCTCCCAATTTCACAAAGCTTTTTTTTTTCCATTCAAAACCTATATATATATATATTCAAAACCTATCATGGCGTAATCATTGAGCGTTTTTCAGCTATACATTGATCCAAGAAAAAAAATCCCCCAAATGCAAATGAAAGGCAAAGGCGCAGAACGGGTATGAAGCGCGTTCATGTTGAAGGCGTGATTCAGAACCAACAAGATTCGTGCACCTGCATTTCCCGAACATTCAGCTGCTGCTATAGGAGGCAGAGAATATTCTCATCTCCCTCCTGAAATTATCTCAACTTCCACAAGGTCTCCTTCCTCTTCCCTACGACCACTTACACAATCCCGGAATCCCCCGCCAAAAACCCATAAGCTATAAGGTTTACCATGATTAACTCCCTATGCACCTCCATTGAATTCATCCACCTAAATTCTCCACCATTCTCCCACTACAGATTCCCCAAACCCCTTTTTCTCATTCCGCAATTCGCCCCCCAAATACCCCCAAAACCCCTCTCCCTATCCGACCCCAATTCATCTGGTAAATGGGCCAACATCAGAGCCTGTGCAGCAGAAGCTGCAGCCGAGAGCGAAATCGATATGGTGAGAACCAAAGAAGGCATCTACACAGCTAAGCCTAAGAAAGTAGTGGTCTTATGGGACTTAGATAACAAGCCCCCTCGCGGGCCGCCGTACCAGGCGGCGATGGCCTTAAAAAAAGTGGCCCAGCATTTCGGCGACCTGGTTGATATCTCTGCTTACGCTAATCGACACGCTTTCGTTCACTTGCCTCAATGGGTTGTTGAAGAACGCCGAGAACGACGGCGTATGGACATTCTTGAGAGGAAAGGTGTTTCTACCCCTTCTGAACCCTATATTTGCTCTGTTTGCGGGAGAAAATGTAAGACACATTTGGATTTAAAGAAGCATTTTAGGCAGTTGCATGAGAGGGAGAGGCAAAAGAAGCTGAACAGAATGAGGTCATTGAAAGGTAAGAAACGACAGCGTTTTAAAGAAAGGTTTGTTGATGGCAATGAGAAGTATAATGAAGCTGCAAGGACTTTGACTTCGCCGCAGGTTGGGTATGGATTAGCCTCCGAGCTTAGGCGAGCTGGGGTGTTTGTGAAAACGGTGGAGGATAAGCCACAGGCTGCTGACTGGGCATTGAAAAGGCAAATGCAGCATTCTATGAGTAGAGGGATTGATTGGTTGCTTTTGGTTTCGGATGATTCAGATTTTTCTGAGATGTTGAGGAGGGCGAGGGCGGCCAATTTGGGGACTGTTGTCATTGGCGATGGGTACAGAGCATTAGGGAGGCAAGCGGATTTATGGGTGCCATGGAATGATGTGGAGAATGGGGAGATTAAGGAGGACGATTTGGTGTCGCAGATAAAGAGGAGGAGGGAATCTGGAGGGAGGAGGACTGGGAGGTTTTCAGTCAGTGAGTTTGAGGGGGGATTAAACGGGGAGGGGAGTGTAGACAGCTTGATGGATCAGCTTGTTGGGACAACGGGATTTGATGGAATGAGAATTTCGGCATTTTCTGAAGGGGAGGAGGAAGAGGATGAGGACAGGGAAGAGGAACAGGACTGGCTGAGGGAGAATCAAAGAGGTTATGTTCAGATTGGACTAAAAAATTCTATTGATGACGAGGATGATCCTGATGAGTACACTGAGGAGGAAGATTATGTTTTAGACAGTGAGGAGGAAGGGGTAGAAGAGGATGGTTTGCAATTCTGGTAAACTGTGCTTCTGTAAATGGTTCGGTAGTGTGAGATTTTTGGCATGGCCTGATATGAGATTAACGCTGATTTGTCTGCTTCATGCTAAGTATCAATCAAGGGATAATAATGGGAACAAGAGTTAATTCCTAACTGCACATGGAATTAGCTGCTCGGATTCTTGATTTGCCAGACAATTTTGTTGAACTTATCAGGTCATTTTCTGTTCTTGCTCGGGGATATTTAACTGCATTTTCCAATGCTATGTGTTTAAGACAGGACACCAACCTTATACATGACCGTATCCTGAAGGTTGATGCTTTTGGTATTATACTTTTCAAATCTTCTACCGACAATATTCCACGTACCTTGCTAGACTAGCATGATCATTTCGTAAAGATTTAATTATTTCCCACTGTGGATATGTGATTTCAAGAAAGGTTATGCTGTGCTATCTATGAAAGAGATTTTTCTGTTCCCCCCTCTATTTGCCATCAATGAGGTGTTACTTGAAATTGATGTATTTTAGCTATTTCAAGGACTGTTCTGTGTTTTATCTTCTATTTGCCATCAATGAGGTGTTACTTGAAATTGATGTATTTCAGCTGTTTCAAGGACTGTTCTGTGTTTTATCTTGTATGTGGCTTCAAAGATCTTATTGATGTACTTTGATCCCTCAAAATAAGTGTATTTAGGTTATACTTCAAAACCTTGGCGACTTTGCTTCTTTTACGTGACTTTTGTCTAGAAATGTATAACTGTGCGCGTTTTTTCCCCCTAATGCAGATTAATCAATTGATTGTCTCTAATTTTTTTAAGCCATCTTTTGCAATTATGCAATAGTTTTTTTCATGAATGTTGGGAGTTTTGCAATGAACTGACTCTTCTTGTCACCTGAAATCACTGTTAGACGGGTGATTGTCATTAAATTAGTAATATTGCATTTCATCAGTCATATTAACACACTAGTTGGTTATATAACACAATGTGGTGATCCACCTACATAATATGTTCTGAAGTGGAAGTGCTATGGATTTTAACCTTGATAATTGGAAGGGTTTTGCAGTCATCTCTGCCTTTGCTCCAGGCTTCTTTGGGTGACATGTAGAGGTTGTTCAGTTTGTCTTCTTCACATAGGAGAACCTGTTCTGTTAATCCACCGGTAAAAAAGATTCTTGACATGAGGATCAGCATCGCACTGACTTGAACCACATCCTCTAGAATGAAAACAAAACAGGGGTCAGAATTTTCAGACTCCACTAATGGTATGAAAACAAGGAAAAAGATGTAAGAGATAAACAACATTCTTTTGCTGGTATTGTAAGACCAAGGTACAAGAAGAAGTAACTAAGTCATTAGAGACGCATCAGGCACACAGCTAAGTCATTCTTGACAAAGCTGGTTATTATGTATATTGAATGCACGTTAACTAAAATAGGCAAAAATTAAAAAGAAAAACAGAGAACAAAAGAAGGAGAAGAGAAGCACACTATATGCGTAATCTAGCAACATATCAAAAATGCATCGGCCATCTTAGGAACAATTCTACCAACTGACAAGCTTTGTTGTAAAAACTTCATTAGGCTTCAGCAAAGTATATTCTTGAATATCTAGTTCTTATGTGTTTGAATTGCCTAGTACTGAAATAGCTATATATATCATTCAGGACCTCTATTGGCTTTTGAAAGGTCCAATGTCTTTTCACTTGTTGCAATATAAAAGTGTTCTGTGTCTTTGTTCAAAATAGAGCAACTATTCAACATTTTATATGGGTCTTAGCCTCTTGATCTGTACAAAGAGATTATAGTAGGAAATATCTGATCATATAGGCATTAATTTCCCGGTGCCATGCTCTGGTATGCAATGTTTTTTCCTTTTTTGTTTGAATATTTACAAAGGGAAAATTTTTTTTTTGGGGAGCTTACAAAGGAAGTTATATTCGTGAATAGTTGGCTTTGGGTGCTGTGATTTGAGATTATGATTGGTTTGGTTTAATGTGCTTATTTAATTTATCTGGGGTATGCATATCGAGCTTTTGTGAGTGTGTTGGCCTCTAAATAATCTCCTGTGCCTTTTTCTGGAGAAATAACGTATTAATCTCTGGAGCATCCCTTACATTTCTTTGAAAGTGGGATTACGATGGTAATAGTGGTTCTCAACTAGCATTTTTGGCTCGCCAGTGCCATTGCAGATTTGAGTCTTACTTTAGGTCCTTGATTTTGTCTTGCTTTTCCTTTCATTCTGGGATGTTGAGGATTATAGTGTCCGTCATGTTGCAGAAATGGAGGTTTATGTGTTTCATCATTTCTCACTTCTGGTCTTATGCACGAGGTTAGTTATTCTCCCATTTGATTCTATGGCATGTTATGGCAGACAATACTTCCTCCAGTTATATTTTAGTTCATAGGCTGTCTTAGGCCCACATTTTCTCATTGCAGGTGACGCACATTAAAATCCACCACAGTTTAAGAAAGGAACTCCTAAAAGCTACGGATAGTAGTAACAGAATCTTTTCTTTCTTTAGTTGTCTTGAACATGAAAGATTTGTTGGCACAGCTGAGTGGATGATAGTTTATGATTTTTGGTCGCTACTATGTTGGATAGGATAAAGCATAATGGATTTGTTCTCACTGGTTGGCCATTAAATTATTTGCCATGACCTGGGTTTCTCATATTCTTTATTGTGGTCCATTGTGGTCTGGTGAAATATGGGTTTGTCCGAAGCCATGCTAAAACTTGAATGGCTATATGTTCGTTCATTCAGGATTTCTGTTCTATGGGTTACTAATAGCTTCAAAGAAATGCTTTTGTGAAACTGAGTAAGATTCCAACACTCTTTTGTCGGATACAGAAATTTCCATGCCAACAAAATCTTCGATGGCTAGATGCGGTTGCTTTGGTGCCAACGCAGGTCTACACGGCTGCCTTAATTCATATTCGCATTAAATATCTTACCAGTTTGGACCATTGAATTTGGAGGCTGTGTAAGTAAGGAAAGTAATTCTTTTATACCACCTCTTTGAAAAGGATGCTTCTAAAGTAACTGGCTTTTGAACTCCTTGCTTGTAGTTGCGTGTCTGAATGCCGGAATTGCTTTTCTTCTGTCCAGACTACTGATTTTGAGGCCACGCTGCTGAGAAATTTTTTTTCAATCATTTGTCTGCAGTAACAACAACAGCAGCAGCAGCAAAAGAAGAAGAAGAAGAAGAAGAAGAAGATTTGCCTATTAGTATTTGTGTAATGGGATATTAATGTAATTGCACAGCCAACATGGAGTACCATACCACATCGTAAAACTGTCGAGGATAGCAGTAGGTCTCTTGTCATGTTTTAATAATGCAGCAGGTTCCTACGCTTGGAGCTTCTGTATCGACACACTTGCCATATAAGGAAGGATGCATCTTCGGCTGGTCCCCTTGTGGACTCCTGCTGATGCTGAGCATGGCCTAGTTGAAAGCATGGCCCATTTGCTGCCGTTGTCAAGTGCGTAAAAAGGCATAAACAGATTTTTGGAGGCCAAGAAAAGGAGGCTGACGGTTGAAAGAGCGCCATCATTCTCAATAATAATAATATTAGCAGCCTGTAGTGTAGCAGCGGCTGTGGCTGCCCATTGGCCGTAGCGTTAGAATGGACCGACCCGTCGGCAGCCCCTATTTTGCTTGCTGACGCAGGTGGCTTTATCTCTAGTCAGGCTACATCCCCAAGTTTCAGCTGTTTCTCCGTTCCTGTCACTTTGTTTTACTGGTCATGTTGCGCTATTCTCTTCTATCTCATATTGGAGAAACATGCCTGAAACCCGAAAAAAAATAAAATAAAAAAAAAGGAGGAAAATTGAATAGTGGCGTGATCGGTATAAAAAATTGGTTCAGCACAACATCTCATCCTACCAACAAAACCTGACTACACAACACAAAATTGCCGACTTAAAAATTAGGCTTTGAAAAAATTGAAGTCGTAAGACCACCAGAATAGAATACAATAGAATAGAAATCGAACAGGATAGATGATTCTCACATCTTCAATTTCCAGTTTCTTGATTTGTTTATTGCGTGGACGGAAAGTCGTATATTCTCAATTCTCAACACACTGAAATTTCAGTAGTCATCCACCACCGACCTACTTTTACCGTGTCTCACCTCATGTCATCCATCATGTTTGTTTTCTGGATAAATTTCACAAAGTATGAAGTATAAACTACAAACTAATATGAATTTGTGAACCCTTTCTAACCTAGGCTATACTCCTCTTAAGAGAATACGAAAAACCCAAAAAAAAACAAAAAAAAAAATTTGTATTGTAAACCACTGTCAACATGCTGTGATCACTTGGACAAACCCCACAATTTTTCTCAAACCAAGTTCATCGTTCCTCTTATACCATATAGAAGTGTGTACACACACCCAAATACATACACATACATATATGTATGTATACGCACACCTTTTCTTGATAACGTAATTCCGCTCCTATACGAGTATTATTGGTAATGTTGACAAAATGAAACCAGAGGGTTACGCGATTTGAGCTTGCGTAGTAGAAGCGGAACCCAGCCCCATCCACGTCGGCAGATAGCAAAAAGCTTCCCCAACCTGCCCACTGCCACCCTTCTACGTGGAGTAGGAAAGCAAGCAACGTAGGCCCCATACCATACAAAATCGCCCACGGTTGCGGATGACGATCACTCTGGAGAATCTAGACTCGTGTTTAAGCAACATTGCACTCCCCTTGTACACAATGTCGTAACTGCAGCGAACGAAGATCACTCTAGACTATGTTAGGAAAGAAATAAATCCACGCATCTTCTTGATCCTAAATCGATGAAAGGAGAGAAAAAATAGAAAATACCTGGTAACGAGTGGAGATCATGCAAAGGTGATATGTGTCTTGACAACTATCATGGCGTGCAAGTTAAATCATTTAAAAGGTTGATGAGTCACAAACTGACTATAAAAAGGTCGGGCAGATTTCAATTTGACATGTTATCATGAGATCGATCTCGATCTTGAGGTCTCAACATGACATGGTGAAATGGCTGAGCGTATGAAAAATTGTGCAAAGGTAAATAAAAGTAGTAGGTCGCCAAGGGAGAGAGGTAATGGTGATTTCGGAACCTCTATCTAAAAACTTATACTTTCTTTGTTGCAGCTTTTCTTACTTATAATAATAATCATCAGAATTGATTCCGAGGAGATAGCCTAGCCTTCTACAGATTTGTCATCTCAAACAAATTCAAAGAGGTTCGATTATACGAGCAGGTGCAAGGTTTTACTTTTCCAATCGACGAACTTAAGTGTACATTGTCCAAGAAAAAGATGCATTTGTAAAATTGTATTCCAAATAAAAGTCATAACCCCAAGATTTTATGCGAGAAGAACACATTTTTGCCTCTTTGGTTTCCTTAAGGCCTGGTTAGCCAGTTTAGCACGGGGAAAATTGTTTAAAACGTTCTCACATTTTTTTTAAATACATTTTTTTCGTTCTTCACTTTTAAAACGCTGACTTTGTGTTCTTTGCAAAATTAAGTCAGGCTAAATTTGATCCTAACTTAGGTTTTCGATTACATTTTAATCCGAATTCATCATATGACCCATATGTGATTATTTTTTTTTAGGTGTAAAAAGATCAAGCCTCATGTTTTTAGGGGTAAAAATAGTTGTGGATAAGGTAATTTGATTAATTGCACATTTGTTAGGGACAAAAATGAACGTAGGTCGAGTAACAAGATTAAATACAAACGGGATCTGACCTTTTTGAACCTATAAACATTATCACGTGTACATCACATGGTTGTATTTAGACTAAAAAGTAGTAAAAAACTTAGGGTGAGATCAAGTTTGACCTACTTAATTTTATGAGAGATGTAAAATAACATTTTAAAAGTGAAAGACAAAAAATTCATTTGTCGAACTATGAGGAATGTTTGAAAGATTTTCCTCGAGTTAAAGGAAAAGAAAAGAAAGAGCAAGTTATACGGAAAAAGGACAAAAGAGAAATGATCTTCTATATCTTTTTTTTTTTTTTTTGAGTTTTTTGAGAGTTTAACATATAAAAAACTAAAATGTTGTAATATGTTTTTACATGTTTGCCCCTTCGATTGAGAAGATTTGACTTTTTAAAGGACAATAGGTAGGAATAGGGGGCAAGTAAATTGAGTCGAGTTCAAGCACTGTATTATTAGAGTGCAGCTCAACCTAAAATACTTGAACTATAGTTTGAAGTCAAACTATTTAATTTGAGCTCTTAAAACTTTAGTTTTAGCTCGAGTTAGGTTAGATTACAAGTTATTCGTGCTTAAATTGGGTCTAGCTCTACAATCGAGTTCAACTGATATAAATTAATATTTATACACTTTTAAACAAGGACATGATAGACATTTTGCACTAATAAATATGAAGAATTCAAAAAAAAATATAAATTTAAAGTTTGATTGAGTTCAATAAACTTGAATGATAAGTTTGGAACTCAAATTCTCAAACTGTTCGAGCTGCTCAAACTTTAATTTTGACTGCATAAACTCGTAAATAACTCGGATTCAACTTCTGAGAGCTATAGAGTTACATGGAAATATTCACTTATTGCCTTCCCTATCCTTTTCTTCACTTTCCATTCATTGCAAGAAGACAACTTCACTGTTTGGAGCGATTTGGCAATCCTCCATTTCCCTTTTTTTCCCTCTAGGTTCGCCTCTCAAATGAGATAACGGATGCAACTTTCTCCCTAAATCAATTTTCATCTCTTCAAATCTTCACCTTTCAAACGAAGCGTAGAGAATTAAAGAAAATCTAAAAGGAGAAAAAAAAGAAAAAAAAAAAAGAAAAGGCTCTTGCATGAGGGAGAGGCGACCCTAAAATAAGGGAAAAAAAATAAAAAGAAGGGAAGGAAGTGAGTGAAGCGATGGACTATGTCGGCCAAATTTGTACTTATCTTTAAGGAAGATCAATCAACGTGGCGGCCGAGCCCAGACGACAGACTAGCAGCCAAGTAAGAAATCCCCCTCTCTAATGCGTGCTGTTTATGCACTCCTTCCCCTCCTTTCCTCCTCAATCATAACTCATCATTCCTGCTTTCTTCCATTCATGATTCGCCAGTCGCCACCCCCTGAATTCATTTCTCTGTCCACGTATATATATGTATAAATGCTCTATACAACACATATTTCATCATACTTATTATAACTGTGTCTGTATTCTCTCCCACCTCCATATAAATATGATTGGCCCTCCTAAGGCAAGCTTTTTCCTTGGACGGTTGTTATCTACCTAAAACAGAATCTTCTCCTCAATTCTTCTTTCTTTCTTTCTTTCTTTCTTTCTTTCTTTCCTTTTGGGTGAGCAGGTCACCCAGAGACTGATAGTTGATTTCTTCAAGAACAAAAGAAGAAAAAGGGAAAAAAAAAAAGGGTTCTTTTTCTTTTTTCGTTTTTACCTATCGGGTGATATGGAAGGGGGGTGTTGTTCAAGCACAGAGAAAAGAAAGGAAAGGGAAAATCATCACCAACAGGAGAAACCCTACAGAGGAATAAGGATGAGAAAGTGGGGTAAATGGGTGGCTGAGATTAGGGAGCCTAACAAGAGGTCAAGAATATGGCTTGGCTCCTACTCTTCTCCGGTGGCAGCGGCGCGGGCTTACGACACCGCCGTCTTCTACCTTAGAGGCCCTTCTGCGAGGCTTAACTTCCCTGAATGCATAGTTGAAGATGATGAGCTGCATGACTTGTCTGCGGCTGCTATTAGAAAGAGAGCTACTGAGGTCGGAGCCAGAGTTGATGCGCTTCAACAAACTGCGGTGCATGCTTCTTCGACAAAATCCAATTCTACTCCTCCTCGCCTGGAGAAGCCTGACTTGAATGAATATCCTAGCCCGGAAACTTCTGACGACAACTGAAAAACGATGTCGAGGACAACTACTTTGATGGCTTTTTTGTTTTCTTGGCGACAAGCAAGATGATCAGGAACTAGAGATGACCTCCGAAGGGAGACTTAGAGCTGTAACGGGGCAAAAAGACGATGGACTAAAAGAGAGTATGCTATATTCTTGGAGGGTAGTGCGTGTAACTTATGATTTCGCGGCTGTTAGTGAAAAGATTTCTCATTGGAATCGATGTTTTGAGATGTATAATCCAAAGGGATTATATGTTGCTTAAATTCTATTACATATATATAGTTGTGAAATTTTATGAGGATTAAAGATGATAAACCATCTATATAGCCTTAAGTCCTGAATGAATCATTTACTAATTAATTCCCTCTCTGATGAAGTTCGATTTTCGTTGTTTATTTGATCTGGGAGGTGGATCGCTCGCTTACTTATTTTTTATATATGTACATATAAATTCAGGACACCTGGTTCTTGAATTGTTTGACAGTTCTCATGATTTTTTGTACTGTTTCATTGAAATTGTTTTGTACGAGGCTTGGGTGGTAATATTGGAAGTTAAGGAGGTGCCGAGGATGGAGACCATCGGAATAATGAGATGATAAAGGAACAGCAGCTATGGCCTACATTCAGTTGCCATATGAAAGAAAAGATAAGAAGATAAGGGTACAAGCTTGGCGTCCCAAGCGCTACCTGTGACGTCCTGTGGATACTGGATGCCACCAGCCACGAAAAAACACACACTTACCTAAGACTCTCTGAAAGGGTTAAAAAAAATTGGATCGATTAAGCATTGCAGGTAGTAGTGGTTTCATGTTTCAATCGCTTTCAAGAGATGGTGGAAGCTTTGAAAAGGCTTGTTTGGTAGTGGAGCATTGCATGATGGGGAGGTGGGCGGTGAGCAATTTTCTAGTCCTCTTTCTTGGCTTTTTTTAATCTTAAAAAGTACAAATGGCAACTTAATATGTATGGCATTTGTTTAGATGCCTTTGGCCACCCTATGAACTGTATGTATGGACCGACCACCCAAATATATATATATATATATAAAAACACTATAAGTTCATAATCTAATTTAACATTTAAAATTAATGGATTCAGATTTTAACGTATCCAGACACATTTGATAACAAAAAAAATTAAGCAACTGATTTAATTAAATGACACTAGATTTGTTAGGCAAAATTTACTCCCAAAAAATAAGTAATGAGTTATCCGCTTATCACTTAACGTGATGTATACTCAAATATATCAGATTTCAGTTTCCATGAAAACAGAAAGGAATCTGGTATTTATGAGAGTCAGGCTAACCAAAAAAAGAAAAAGAAAAAAGTGTTGTTTAGACGTTCCCTGTTTTTGGCGGTCCTTTTCCTATGTTAGTATTTTATTGCTATGTTGCGCAAAGCCGCCAAGGGCGTTCCAATTAAATATTGCCGCCTTTGGTTTTATTTTATTTGGGGAAGTAAGGAGCCGGGGGTGCTTATTTTTGCTTTGCTTTTGGAATTTTTTGTTTGATTTGTACGCGATCTAAGTTAGTGCGACTGTTTTTGTCCGGCGGTTAGGATTTGCAGTCCCCGAACTAACTACTAAAATGAGGGAGGAAAAATCGATCTTAAAAGATTTTTGTCCGGTTGCCTGCTCAACTGGCTGGCTGGCCGGCCGGCTCCTCGGGCTGTCCTTAAAAGACTGTACACTTGGGGTTACGACCGTAGACAATCCTTATAGAAGATAAATTCAAGGATTATTAGGATCCACACACGCGGAATAAATCACGATTGGAGAAAAAAAAAAAAAAAAACCCCCCCCCTAAAAAGTTACAATCCAAATGGAAATCTTGAGAGTTTTGATGTCCTAGAATTTCATAGTTTTTGTGATTACACAAACCCTATGATTTAAACGTCCTATGACACCGACAACTTCTCATTTACCAGCCCAAAGTCGAAACCAAAGGTAACCCTGCAAAAGTTGCAAATTGCTTCCAAGCAAAACTCAGAAGAACGATTGACAAAGAATCTGACACGGGTCTGTTTTCTTGCTGAAGTGATGGCCTCTAGCTTAAGCAACACACTTTAATTTTGATTTGGTAGGTGCAATGGAGTGTCCCGGGTCATTTGACCGTGCTTATGAAAGTGAAACCCTTTTTTATTTATATATATTTTTTAAAAAAAGCAAAGGGATTGAATTTAACTATATTTAAGACGTGGAGATGAAATAGAGGGACATGAATCCAAGACCTTGAGTAATGACACATTCTCTTTATTATTATTGTTGTTGTCATGTTATTAAAGAGGATGAATCCCACTTATTGAACACGTAATCCCTCAATCGCGAGAAAAAAAGTCCTATCAATTACAATGCACTTTATTGTTCATCAGAATAAGTGAATTCCACTTACTGAAATCATAACTTTTCGATCACAGATGAAACGTCTTATCAATTACACTGTAGACTTCACTTTCAATACTAATACCTTCTTGATTATCAGGGTGCAGTAAATTCCTAGACTTGAAAGCAAACTAAGAAAGGTTTGGCGTTTTTCCACTGCTGATTTTGCATGCATTGATTGAGTCCGTCCGTTGAATATTTAAATTGGTCCTGCTCCTTGGGCGACAAAATGTGTTCCAACGCTGCCTCTCCTACTATTAAAATATGATCAAAGTGGACCCAATATTATAAATCGAAGGGCTGAAAAGCACCGAGAAAATAAATTGGCCTGATGGACTCAATTCAGAGCATTAAATGTTTCTGAAAAGGCTAAACCGAGAAAATTGGTTTTGCTGGGCTTTTATAGGCACACATTGATGTTGTTTGTTGAATTACCAAATTTAATCCAATTCCCTTTGTAGGCTGTAGAAAACTGGGGAACTGATCAGCAACAAATTTGGTGGGCACATCTTCAAGAATTGAGATGAAAAGCATATACCCGTCCCCGGGAACAACATACCAGAAGAATGGTGTAAGCTGTCCCTTTAATAAGATTCAATAACCGGGACCATCATAACTTCGAAATCCTACCTGCATCAATGTATTTTGAAAGGTCGTCGAAACCTGTACAATAATAAAAATAAATCTAATTGTCAGTTAAGTAGCCAAAATCTGATTTTAAATACCGGTACTGGAACTCTAGGTGTGCAATGGGTTATTTGATTCACCCTGTTCTCGAAGAGTTTGCTTGATCCGATATACTCGAATGAGATGGCTTTTTTCACAAATAATTATGAATTTATAGACAAGGCAAGTAGGGTCGTATCCTCAGGGACTAGGGATATTTGTCTCTTAATAAATCCAAAGTAACACAGGGGGTGTTTTTATATAAACGATTACAATAAAAGAAATTCAAATAAAAATAAAAATAAATAGCTATTTAGAAATTAAATGACAATTCAATAAAATTAGAGTAACAATAATTAAAGGTCTAACAAAGAAATAACTTCAACAATGGTTCACCTAATTGATCATTGATGCACAAGCAATTTCAATTATTTACTAATAAATATGTTATAACTGTCAAACAAGCAATGACAGTCAACCTCTCTTTACTGTATCAGTGGTTAAGGTACGCCCATAAGATTTAATTCCCTAATTGCTTTACATATTAGAGGAACCCTATTCTAACCAAATAACGCACTATCAGGGTTACTTCAGATTAGCCCGCATTTCAAGGCAATTAAGTAATTATGGATTTAATGCCCTAATTGACAATAGATTACCAAATTAACTAATTATTTCGATCCAAGACAATTAATTAATTAATTAATCACAAGCAATGCAAACAAGAAATATGCGAATACCAATAAATAAAAGAAAAAGATAAAATTAAATCGATCTCATAATTTTTAGGTAAATCAAAATCTCCGTTGTTCCTTGATTAGAGTGAGAGAATTAGTTCATATTTGATATGAAAAACTTACGCAAAATTGAAGTAAAAGTCGCGCCCATTATCCTTGATCGAGGGGGTTCAATTCGTTCAATTGGTAAAAGAATACAGAAAGTGATTGAATCCTCCAAGTGCTCCTGACATGTGCAGGAGGAATCCACCCGAGACTCCAAGGAAGAGTCAAAAGAAACGCTAAGCTAAAAGTCCTGCGTACCAAGAAAGATGAAAAACTACTCAGAACCAAGGAAACGAAGAAAAGTCAAAAGCGAAAGATAGTGCTAGTTCTCTTCTCTGCTCTCAATTCCTATTCTATCTTATTACTAACTAAGCATCCTCTGTGCCACGGCTCCCACCAGGAAGAAGAAGCCCTTCAGCCTTCCTTTTTCTTTTGTAGCAATTACCAAAACGGGAATAAGTGTTTCTTTTTCAAAAATGTTCCTGGAATAAGCTCTATTATTTAGATTTCTTTTCTGTCAAATTGACACTTGTTATCATATTTTGGTTCTACTCCCTGAAATAAATGTAAAATATTAAAAATGAGTAGAATCCAGCAATTAATCCACATCGGGTCAGGTAATAGGGAAAATTAATAATGAAATAAATGATAAAACTGCAACCTATCACTGTTGCTAACGTCCTATCCCGTTCGGTCGTTTTCCAATCAATTGCTAAATCATTTGTAATATTGATGCAGAAATAATAAGATGAAATTCCAACCAAAGATCTCCCAAAATTATTCTGTGAACTGAAGCGAGGCATTTGCCAGATAGTACTACTAGTGGTTTCTGGGCTACGATGTTCAAGATCCGATCTCATGCGCCAATCCATCGACATTGATAGAAAATGGGATGCCAGTGATGACTTCCTCGTTCTGAAAAGTACCCATGCTTAGTCCAATTGGCCCAAACAATTTAAGCTTTTTTTTTATCAAGTCCACTAAGTTTGACATAAATTAGCTCACTTGATATTGATATCAACCAGTACCTTTTTTGTATTTTATGTTAGGGGTGGTGGTTGTGGTGTGTGGAAAGCAACAACTTCAATTGAACCCGACAGAAATTGGTAGAGATGTAACATATCTTCCTATAAATGACTGTCAAACACTTGCTTACTTTAATGGTTTGGATCGCCTCATCTCCTATAGTCATTGAATGGAGCTAAACAGACCACAAGTGGATGGATAGCTCCAAATCTTGACATTGAGAATAATAAACGTACCGTAGGAGGAAAATGTATCGTAACGATATTGTTAACGTATATTAGATTAAAAAGTGATCGAAAAATGTGTCCACGAAAAGTCACGATCCAAACAAACAAAGGTGTCATTCAGACAGGTATAAGAAATCTTACGCCAAAACTGAACATATCCTAGTTAAAATTCCATACCCAAAGATTAACAAAACCAATTATGGCTATGTTGTTATCGTTGCGGGGCCCAGTGTGCCCACCTTGATCCTCTTTTCCTAGGTTGGGCATTTAACATGTCAAACATTTGACA